GAACATTTTTCTTCTAACCTCATCCTGCCTCCTTAACACAAGCCTGCTCCTACGTAGATTTACATTCTCTCCCCTGCATCAGTAGGGCTGTGAACGATATTACTGCCAGTGCGGTGCGACTCTGTCGGTAACAGCCCTTAGTCCCAGCTCGAGGATTACAGCATATTTTTGCTGTATAACTTTTGCTTCCACAATGACTTGCAAACATAAATTAAGATTCTCACGCAGCTGCTTAGTGGGTTAGTTTGGTCAGGAAAGGTACTACACTGCTGATCCCTTTCAGTTACCATCCATGGAAGGTAAAACAAATACAGTATCTAAGTGGTGAACTTAATGACTATTTTAAAAACTGCGACTGCACGTAGCATTTGACGTATGCGGACATACCCCACGTATGAGATGTACCCCAAAAATCATATATGCAGAATCAATACCTGTTCCCAAACATAACACATTTCTACTGAAGCTTTGTTATTTCTTTTGCTGCAGGCAACTCTTTCTCCCCCTTGGTAAAGCTGGCAGAGCTTGGGGCATGAGCAGTTCCCCCCAGGACCTGCAAGGTCTCTACGGGACCACGGGCACAGGGACACGCTGCATCCCCTGGCCCTCATCCTGCCAAAAGCTCCTGCAATGTTTGCTCTGTCCCGTCGCTAAAAAGAATATTAAAATCTGTAACACAGATTTCCAGAGCAACAGTAAAATATAACGGAGTACCAAAGCATGTTTTAAGAAACCGGACAGCCCTGGCTAACGCCCTGGGACAAAAGGAGGCTGGATGGGCTGTTGTCTTCCAGAAGACAACTGCTGGCCTCTGTAAAACTTTGTCTGAAAACAACGTAAGTCTGAAAAGTATTCCTCCTTGTTTTATGAGGCTTTTAAATAATCAGCCCTGAAAATGTATCAACAAATGTGTAAACAAAATCCTCTTCTTTTGGCTAAATTGTTGTGCCAGAAAGTTTATGAAGTTTATCCAAAGTGCAGCCCTTTGCACCTTTTTGAAAAGTAAGTGGAAAGCATTCTTTTCAAAAAGGTAAAAATAGCGTTTTTTTTTTTAATCTCTACTCTGAATACATTTTAAGAAGGATCAGAACAAATCTTTTCATCTCTGAAGCCCCCATGCAGTCCTCAGACCAACAAGCACCTTTAACAAATCATTTTTCTGCAGTCACTTTTAGCCACTGATGCAGAGACAAAAAATCAAGTAAGATGCTTTCATGGCTGCTTCTATGAAAAAGGCAATGCACCAAGCAAACAAGGAAACCAGGTCAAAATCGTAACAGCCAGTTAAACTCTCAGCTAACATCTGTTAAGTTTAACGATGTATAGACAATCTTTTGTGACTTGCCTCCATTGCTAAGAAACAGAAATTTCAATTAAAAAAAAAAACATTTTTTTCTGATGAAGTTTTAGTGGAAATGAACTTCAAAGGGCCTTGTAGAGGTCTTCCTTTTCCTTTCCTGCAACATGTGTTTATCATGTGTCAAAGCTGCCTCCTTACTTTCTCCCCTCCCCAGAATACCACAAATTCTTCTGTAAAATAAACAAAGCTCTGCCAAGAATTGCCGAAATTACCAGAGGCTGCCCCTGCTTGAGATCAAAGATGCAAGTCACAGAAAGGGCCTTCTGCAACATGTAGGCTTCCACTGAAGATGAAATTTTCGACCAACAAGGAAGTTATTCAATAACCAAACACTAACAGCATGTTTGGGGAGCTTTTAAAAAAGTACTAGCTGGGGTGATGCTCAAGTTACCTTTTCTATGTATAGTTTCCTTAGGAATCCTAGTAAGTCTTGGCAGGATTCTTTTTATACTGCCATTTAAAACTTACAAAGAAAAACCTTTACTTAAAAGAGAAATGCAAAATTTCGAAAGTACACATCAACCTTTAATAGAGGAGGAAAGCAATTTCCTATTTCTGATGTTTGTATTTGTTCTGTAACAGAGCTCATCACTATCTATACTAGATTGCATATATGGTGATATACTGTGTCTTGTGACAAAATAATAATCCCTTATTTACTGCAGGCAGTAGTTGTGCTTCTCGACCTGTCCCTTCATATATATATATATATATATGTAACCAAAAGGAAATGTCTCAATGGTGTTTACAAATTGGACTTCATTCACTCACAACAAACACATTGGCAGAGGTAACCTTGGTTCCCAAAGCTGCTATTATAACTTAGTGAGTCAATAATACAGAAAATTCACAGGTTCTCTGCACTCTTGAAGGCACACATCTAAAACTTCCAGTGAATATTGGCATTTCTTATGAAGAAAATAGCTTTCATTATATTTTTCAGTGACTGCTGCCAAAGAATATGTATAATATGTATAAATTTCTCTCTGTGGGCTAAAATTCACTTGAAAAGAACCAACAAATACTTTTTATGTACAATTTTTCTCTAGTACCTGAGGAAAAAGAAACCTTTAAAATGCATATACATCTACTTAGCATATTTTAAATAAGTAAATTATAGAGTTGTGAAGTTAAGTATTCTAGCTTAAATACACATTTCTTTAGGTAGCTTAATCATATACCTTATTTTAAAAATCCCTTAATTCCATATGTATGTAGATGCATGCATAGGATGTGATGCTCAGATTTATAGGGATAAGGTTGTAAATGAGAGACAAAAAAAGCCGTCTCGTAGCTCCTCTGACCAAAGTCAGAATAATCAAAGTGCTAAAAAAAAAATGTTTTAAGTCTTTCTTCATTTCTTACTGCTTTATCGCAAAAGAATTAAGCTGAAGGAGGTAGCAGCCTGGAAAGTCAAAGTTAAGGCCTGACCTTCCACGTCTATCTAACCTATCTGTCAGCTCCCTTGTGTCTCCCTCAAACACACATGCTATCGTTTCCGGATGCGTTTGGAACAGGTTAGCAAGAGAATTTCAAGATGCGTCACTTTTGCAGCGATTTGGATGCTGTGCAAACATTTTCTGGCGATTTGTGGTTTGGTAGTTTTATCCATTTCCATCTTATTATTAAAGGTGCATTTCTAAAAAGTTTAAAATAAGGCTCTTTTGAGACCAATGTTTTGTTCCAAAAAAAGAAAAAATCTCAGCAGCTCTTTTGCTCCTTTATTTTTCCCTTGAAAATTCTGCAGTTTATTTCCTCTACACTCTTTTTATGGTGTCCTTTAAAAGCTCCCAATGAAGCATTAGGTTAATTACTAAAAAAATGCTACTACCCTTGGTTCCCAAGTATCTTTCTCTTCTTGATGTGACAAGGGCTGCTTATGTAAGACCAAAGGGCCAAAGGGGCTGAGAGACCGTGGCTTGCGTCCTGCAGCAACCCCCCCCTTCCAAAGGAAAACAAAAACCACTGAGTATTTTCTGCCACATTCACAGTCCTCCCCCCCTCTCTTGTGAAGTCAGCCTTTATTACATTTCCTTTCTTATTTACGAGGTCTTGGCTCTGACATTGATTCCTTATCTATGACAAATGTTAAGAGTTAATAATCTGTGGCTTTAAGGAAGGATAATGCTAAACAAATTATGGGCATTAGCTACTCGAAAAGCCTTTAAAAATTGATGTGAGCGTTACAATAAGTGCAGCAAAAATTGCTTGAGACTGGCAAAAAAACAGCTTTTTTCACCCATTAATGAGCATTAGCAGATTAAAAGAAGTTATATTTTAGACAAGGATGTATCCTGATAATCTGAAGTGAGTTAGTCAGAAAACACAAGAGTGATTGGGCTAGCAAACTTCCCTGAGAAGTCTTAAATGAAGGCTTTTTTTAATGTACTTTTTACATTTTTGAGCATTTTGCTCACACTACAGTTTTTTTTTTTCAGGATTAAAGGGTGAAAGCTGGGAAATCTTTTCAGATAAATTTAAATAACCACCAGGGCTACCACAGATGCACCCCTGCTCTAACTGTCCTTTCAGCGCCGCGCTGCCGGCCGGCCCTAGAAGAGCTGCAGAAATTTGGCACGGATT